AAAAAGATGAAGTTTGAAATGGAAGCTGTGTTAAAGCTCAATATCCTTGACCTCTGCAGTACGAACTGGCATATAAACTTGGTCTCATCATGTAACCTTTGTCTATAAAAGGGATGAGAAACAATGTGGAAGATCTATCTGCTTAAAAAAAAAACCCTCCCTTTCCTTTTCAACGTGCGGTTTGGGTGGTCCCATCGGAAGTGACTTTATTTGGTTTGGATTTTGAATTTGTTGCCTTGCTACCACTTTTGTCTCCACTTGGTACCTGGACGACCCTTTGATCAGAGCCTCAGAGGACCAACCGACGTATAGACGGCATCGGTGAAACAAAGCCTTGCTTAGGAGCTTTGGGAGTAGAACTAAGTTTCTCATCCTCTTTTTCACAGTTGAAGCCTGTGTTTTCTTAGTTTTATTCTGTGTTACTTTTGGTTACAAACATTTAATGCACAGGTTGTTCCTTTGGTTCCTGCGCTCCTTCCTTCATAGTCATAATGTCTTGTTAAATGACATAAATCAGCTGAGCGGGTGGCCTGAGAATCAAAGTCTGTATGGCCTACAAGGAAGAGGGTAGATCATAACCCCAGCCCACCCCACATTCTCTGGGCCCCTCTGGGTAAAGTGCTGGGCATTTGCTTGGTAGAGTTAAGGTATTCAATAGATGCTCATGCTTTCCTTTTCCTCAAGAAGGAAGGAGGAAGCTATCTTTAGATGCCGAAGTCTGATTTTGTATAAAGAACTGGGTTATCACATCTGAACAATCTTGGAGGTCTTTACCCTGCCTTTTGTGCTTTGCTCACTGGTATTCAACATTTTTCTTTTTCCACTTAGTCAATTCCTTCCCCTCCATCTTGGCAGTTGCACTGACTTACTTTTCTGAGCCTGAAATGGCGAGAGGGAGGGTGGCAGCAAAGAGGAGAGGGGTATGTGGGAGGCCACTCTCTGACATGGAATAAAACATAAACATAGCTGGGAGACTGATCCATCCGTGAGTGTGAACAGTGGTAGAAGCAGGTGATTGCTTGAGGTAATCTCAGAAGGTCCCCATCTTTAAGAGTGGGGGTTGCAAATTGGCACCCCGGGAGTCAAATCCAGCCACAGACATAATGGTTTAGCCAGCAAAGGGTTTGGAAATGTTTTTGCTGGGTCAAGACTAGAAGAGGTCCCACTCCCTATTGTCTTGTCCTGGACAAGTAACATGCTTATGCAAATCTGCTTACGCCGTCTTTCTAAGTGGACTTTAACAGTCCAGACTCGAATGTCAGTTGAAGCTCCTTGATGGAGGCTCTCCCACGTAAAGAAGACCTACACCAACTCATCACCAGCTCCCTTATTCCTCATCTTGGTATTTCCCAGAGTGGTTTAGGCCATGATCACAAAGTTTGAGGACCATATCTGCAGACAGTCACTGCAAAAATTAACATCCTGATTGACTGCTAGAAATTGTCTGACTCCATCTTTCACAGCCTCTCCTTCTACTTTTCCCTGCTATTCTAGATATGTGACAAGCCAAACTCTTCCTGTGTCAATCTTCACCGTGTTGAGCTCTGTTGGAAGCCTCTGGGAGCTCAGTGTGCAAAGGAGATAAGCCAGGGGCATGACGCTTGTTTAACGGTTCTCTCTGTAGTGTCCTTGTATTTTCAACCCTTTTTTCTTGCCCATTTCCTTGGCCTTTTATCATAAATTCCCTGTGTTGTTTCTATACCACTCTTGGCAGAAGGACCCACTGTATTCCTTTATTAGCTCGACTTTGTAAGGAAAAGGACGCCAGGGTACCATTTGATGATTTTTCTCGGCTAGATTTTGGACACTCATATTTATTGGACCATCACATTTTAATACCTTTACATATCATCCTTTTGCCCCTTCCAGAAGCTAAGCTGTTCTCTTTTTTGTGGTCCTTTGTTTATCACATTACAGTGTTGATGTCTACTTTGGTGTCAGAGATGGACTTCCCTAACGTCTCACCACCTCCTTTTAACTCCTGCATGAGAATGTAGAACCCCAAACACTGGGAAGTTTCCATGGAAGGCCGCTTGATTCTCTCTTAAGGATATCACAGAGGGGATTTCTACAGTCACAGAATATGAGGGTGGGTTCCAAGACCACTTCGGTCTACTCCAGCTTAAAAAAAAATATTTTAATAAGTTTATTGGGGGAGTATTCTTGGGATCACCATCGTTGAGGGAATAATAGAACAGGATTGAGCAGAGGGGGATGTTGAACTACAATGCCATCATGGCATATTTCTACCATTTTTTTTAAATAGGGCACTCTGAAGCTGAATGTATTTTCAAAGATATCTCAAGTCAGGCAAGGGAGCCACGTGGATCAGTAAATTGCTGTGGATGCCCTCGGGAAGGGGGCATGACCTTGGCCATATTCCAGCCTTTAGATTCTGAAAATGTGTTAAAGGATGTGTTTGGCCGTTTATACAAAGGAGTCTATATATACCCAAAGTGCATACCCAAAGCCCTCAGGATGTGATGCCTCACTCAAGTTTTCTATGATGATTGCCTTGAAAATATTGTCTGTTGATGACACTTGTAGGCACACTTATTAGTAACAAAGTATTCATCTCAGCTAGAAGCGAGGGGACAAAGGGAGACGCAGCATGCCAGTAGGTAAGACTGGACCCCAGAGAGGATGACAGGGGCTAGGGTGGGGTATGAAGAAGGAGGCCTCACCTTGCAATACTCCTCTCAGAATGGGACCTGCTCAATTTTTAATTTTCTGCCTTGGGCATGGAACATGCTTTGTTTTATCTTTAGCTTCTGCTTCGAGGGGTCGGAGTATTTTCTCAGCTTACCTTTTCCAGTGTCTCAGGCTGTTCACTCTGGGGTGCCTTGCTTGTGGTTTTAACCTTTTATCTTTCTTTGTGATGGTTGTTTTGAGTTTACAACGAATCAAATATTCCACGGGCACCCTGGGGTGTGACCGGTCAGTGAGGAGCCAGAGACAATTCAAAGCCGATTTCCCACTTTCCAGTCTCACCGAGTGATTTGAGGGAAGGAGGGAGCTCCTAACACATGGAGTGTGAATTGTGTGCATAAGCCACTTGAAACCCAGGCAACCTTCAGCTCAGGACTTCCTGTTAATCAGCTGGGTTTTCTGGCATAGCAATGAGCAAATGGCATTAATGAGGTAGGCATAGAAGATAGCACAGGGGCTTGAACAGTCAGTAGGAGCTGGGCCCTGCAACAGTAGAGAAACAATAAAAGAGGGGGTTATTTTATCCTCTTCCCTTTTTTCTTTCTTTCTTTTTTTTTTTTTTTTTTTTTTTTTTTTTTTTACAGTCGCAACTTTTTGGCTGATTAAAGTACTTTTCCTGGTTCCAAAAGGGAAGTGTCTTTTGTATTACACGCTAGAATGTCAGTTCTCATTACTAAGCCCTAGCTGTTCAAATGCTGTCGGAATCTCCCCAAGGCCTCCTTGGGGAGACTGTAGGCAGAAATTTCAAGGAGCTTATGCCAATTATTTTCCTTCTATCTACATATTGATGGCTGACCCACAGTAATCATGTGAGTCAGGTGCTATGAACACTGTTTCCTTTATTTCATTCATGGCTTTTAAGGCAGATAAGATTTTTTTTGTTGTTGTTTCTAAAGACTCCTTTTCCCTTGGTTTCTTGCAACTACCATTTTTGTTTTCTACTTGAAAATGACACGGCCGACCAGAGACAGAGTGACCCAGGCTTTTTTTTTCCTTTTCTTTCAATTATTTGGGCCTTTTTCACACTGATTACCAGAGTTAGTAGAGGGTGTATAACATAAACATATTCTGAGGCCTCAGTGGTGGGAGCAGGTGTAGAACTCCAGGCTTCATTGTTCAAAAGTCTATAATTTTGGGTCCTTTAAAATTTTTTTTTAATGTTTATTTATTCTGGAGGGAGAAAGAGAGAGCATGAGCAGGGGAGGGGCAGAGAGAGAGGGAGACACAGAATTTGAAGCAGGCTCCAGGCTCCGAGCTGTCAGCACAGAGCCTGACGTGGAGCTTGAACTCATGAACCATGAAATCATGACCCGAGGGGAAGCCGGAGGCTTAACTGACTGAGCCACTCAGGTGCCCCAGGCGGTTTGGGTCCTTTTATTGTTAAGTTACAGATATTAACCTGGCGACTCACAAGGGAATACAATTAATTGAAGGATATGTAGTAGTCATTTATTAAGAGCCAAAACCCAAGACCAAGTATCAGAAAGCATGAGCACCTGGGAATGTAGGTAGCAGAAAGTAAGGGACACTGTCTTCAGGGAAGTTACCAGGGTTTTGGGTCATCTTCAGTTTAGGTCTTTGTTCTGTTCACGATTAAAATTTCCATGGCAATCTAGGTTGACCCAGCTTGGGCCCATGCCAACCTCTTGGCTAGATAAGGGTGAAGAACCTTAGCTGATAGTCCTTCTGAAAGTGCTCAAAACAAGGGAAACATGCAGAGCATAGCAGGTTTAGACAGGCTAAATCAGCAGATGCCTTTCACAAGCTGAGAGGTCCCAGATTGCCCGGGAAAGGGACGTCCAATGCTAATCTTACACTGACTCATGTCATTATGATGAAATAGCAGGAGCGTCTGAATGTTTGTGTCCATCCCCAAATTCATCTCTCGAAGCCCTAATCCCCAAGGTGATGGTATTTGGAAGTAAAACCTTTGGGAAGTAATTAGAGTTAGATGAAGGCATGAGGGTAAGGTCCTCATGATGGGATTAATGCCCTTCTAAAATGAAGATCAGAAAAGAGCTCTGTCTCCCTCCACCACATACACATCAAGGGAAGGCCGTGGGAGGACATAATGAGAAGATGGCCATCTGAAAACCAGGAAGAGGGCTCTCAACAGACACTGAATCTGCTAGTGCCTTCATCTTGGACTCCCCAGACTTCTTGGGAAGTGTCCTTGGACCCTCCCAGAGCTGTGAGAAAAAGATGTTTGTTGTTTAAGCTATCAGTCTGTGGTGTTTTGTTATAACAGGCCATACTACCTATGATGGAACCTCCTTCTCCTTTTCTCAAAGCAGCCAGATGAGCTCCATATTACCTGTTTTGGAAGGAAGATGAACCACAGATACTCTTCTGAACAGTAAACTGATCCCCGAGAGCAATCAGGTTCAGCAGATTCCATCCCAGCTGAGAGGAGAAGTCAGGGTACATGGTGAGCACAGACCCTACCTTCCTAGGTTCTGAAGATTTTTCTTGAGTGGCTGGAAATCCCAGAAGGTGGGTGATGAGTCTCCCAATCTCCTGTCTCCCGATTGTCCTCTTTAGCTGATCAGACAGGCTTCTATCAAGTCTTAGCAGGCCTCATGTGTATTATTTATTTGATTAAAAAAAATTGTGTCATTTGCTTTTAAGGAGCCTCTGGGAATGAGCATAATTAAGCATAGATTAAAATGTCTGAAAGATTGAAAACCACCATGATGATATAGTGAAACACATGCAAGAAGCTTAAAAACATCCCCACATTGCCATTCCATCAAAGCATCCCAGTTTACAGTGATAGCCGAAAAACCAAGCCTCACTGGAAATGGTCAAATTGGGATTTCAGCGGTAGAACACGGGCAACAATTCTAATAATTTGGGGAGGTTAATTTGGAAAAGAGCTCATCTGTAACGCCAAGGAAAGCTAAAGGGCGTCAGGTGGATTCAAAGGAGGAGAAGGAAGAGAAGAAAAAAGAAAGGGAGGAGAAAAAAAAAAGAAGGAAAGGGAGGAGGAAGAGAAGGGGGAGAAGGAGGAAGAGGTGGGGAGGAGAAGAGGAGAAGGAGCCACTGAGACACCATAACAAACACAGCTGGGGATGAGCAGGGGTTTGGACACCAATGTCTGAGCACTTGCTATGAGCCAGGTGATGTTCTAGGTGAGTAAGATGGGCACGCTGTCCAGCGCACAGAAATTTTAAACAATGAAGACACTTGCACAGCACGAGACGTTCTATGAAGGAAACATAGTGAGTAAGACACAGTTAGTGGGTGGCTACTCAAGGTTGGGTGGCAGGGATTGTCTCTATCAAGGTGACTTTGAGGTGGGTGAAGGGAAGAAAGCAGCCCCGTGAAGATATGGGGAGAGGCTTTCCCTGCCGAAGGGGTGGGGATTGCAAAGGCCAGGAACTGAGGCGGGATGATGGCCAGGGTATCCTTCCTGGAGACTCTTGGGGAGGGGAACCGATGCTGTGCACGTCAGGGTGGGGCAAGCGGTGGCCAACATGGAGCACAAGTTGTCACTGAGCACCTTTTCTGGAGGGCTGCTTTTGGGTAACCCTATCAGTCGGCTGCCTTGGGCCATAAGTAATGGAAAACCCAACCGGTGGTAGGTTAATTGTATAAACTCAAAAGTTTTGTTTGGTTTTGTTTTCACCAAACAACCTGAAAATTGCCAGCTCCAGGATCGGCACAGTAACTCGCTGATCAAGTTCCTGGGGACGTTTCTTTCCGCGTTTTTTTTCCCCGTAGGATGTCAGAGGCAAATTCTCTCACAGTTCGAAGAGCCTGCAGCTCTAAGCTCTGCGTCATCACATAGCGGTGGAACAAGCAGGCAAGAGGATGCGTCCTCTGACACCTGCCTCAACAGGGCTGACTAGCCAGACACGTACCCCTAGACTAGAAGGGCCCCGAGAGTGTTAGCTCAGGCATAGCCCTTTCTGCGCTCAGCACAGAGCTGTCTCCAAGGTGGCATTTGGAGATCCTCTTAGGAGAGAAAACTTCTGGAATAACGGAAATAGGGAGGGTGTTCCAGGGGAGCCCATTGCTTCATGCTCCCGAGGAGGAACAGAGCCACAGTGGTCTTAGCTGGGCTTTGGTGGAGTGGGAGGAAGGGGATGCTGGGGTGCTAGAAAGGACACACCAGTGTCTCCATCTTGGAGTGTAAGACGGAGAGTGGGGGAGAGAGTGAGCAGAAGAGGGTAGTGTTAGCAGGGTGGAGGTGCAGAGTCCAAGGCTGGAGGGAAGAGGTGTAGGCTCTGGGCAGCCTCCGTGGGCGCCTATCCTAGCCTCTCTCCTGACCACTGGCTAGCCATGCTCTGCCCTGTACGTCACCGTCTATGCCATGGGGGTGATGTAATACTTGTCTCCTAGGGTCTTAGGACAAGCAGGCATTCAGTACATATGAAAACACACAGAGCAATCTTGGTAGAAAGCAATCAGTAGGCAAAGGATGGCTATGCTTTAACTGCTATTCTCTACCACTCACCTCTTCCAGGGTTAGATTAGCCTACACGTATTTGCAGATCTGACGTTTGCTGTACAGATCTTGAAGAATCCTCACATGTGCTACCTCACGGGGTCCCTGGTCACACTGCTCTCTTTACAGCAAACTCGTGGCTATAAAGCCTGAGAAATCTTTTGGCGGTGTCAGAGCCATAGATGGTACCCAAGAGCCTTTGAGGGAGGCTGCCCAGGGTTCCTTTCAGGAGCCGCTCACCCAAGGGGGAGTTCTCTGGGCGTGTGGAGGAGAGCAGTCTTGGACCCTGCCTCAGTTAGAGCCAGTAAACGCAGCAGCAGCTTTTTTGATGTTCATGGGGTCAGGAGTGCTCTTGGCATTGCCTCAGCTGCTTCTCACTGTGCCTGGGAGGCTGGGGTGCGGGGGAGGGCAAGGGGGGAGAGGTGTGAATAGAGAAGCAGGACCTTTTGATTTCTTTCCTTACCAACAGGAGCATTTACTCCCTCCAGAATCTGGGCATCTGTGAGAGAGCTGAACTCTGTTTTATGAGAGGATTTTTTTCCTTCTTCTTTTTTTTTTTCTTTTCCCATCAACACTTGTCAGGGATTCAAGGCAAAAAGCCTGGCAAAGGCCTGGGCTTCTGCACCAGCTCCGGCAAAAGATGGGTCTAAACAGGGAACAGAGAGAGGCATTGTTCCAAACACTGCAGAGTGGGAAAAGTAGGTCAGGGAAGAAAATGCAGGTTTGACAGAGCTGGGAATTGAACTTGTCACCTCAGAGCTCATTGGTGTAGAAAGTGAACAGCCAGCAAGGGACGAGGGAGTAACTGAAGTCTGCTGCCAGGGCAGGGGCAGACACACGCTGTGAAAAGCTGCCTGCGTGATGGTCATTGCCTCCTTCCAGGGCCAAACGCCCCCATCTTCCCTCCTGCCCCACCCTCAAAACCCCTTCCCTGGGAAACTAAACCAAGTGATGATTCTAGACGAGAAGAGCAGCTGAGACTGTCTCTGGAGAGAGTGCCAGGCGGCAACTTCCCAGCCACCAGCTGCATTTGCAGGACTGGGAATTGAGACAACCCCCACCCTCCCGGAGAAGAGGCTCTAATTACAATCAACATCACCTTCTAGGAAACTTCTGGGTGGATGGCTACCAGCAGGGAAAAGCTTTCTCCTCACTGCCCTCCAATTGGTGCTGGAGCCAGGGGTCCTGGCTGTAGCCTGGGAAGAGAAAAAATACCTCTAACAACTTGCCCAAACCTTGGTACTTCTCCTTTCTCCCAGAGTCAAGGTTCTGAGCTATTTTGGATGAAGGGTGTTTTCTCCCTGACTCTTACACCATTTCGTTTGGAAACATCTCCAATTTCTTGTTCTGGACGCAGCTTTTGCCTAATAAACACGTCAACCTGCTCCTTGTGGGTCTCAAACATCTTTCCGTTGCAATAAGGGTGACTTTGAATCTATCATTCCAGATCTGCCTGCCCCACTGTTGGTACCAAGAAGTACAAGTTCATTGGGTATTCCAACGTGCGCTTGGATCTGATAGAAACTTGTAGCTAAAGACCACAAACCTCTGTGGTTACCACTCATTGTTGGACTTTCTTTTGTAATTAATGACCCGTTTTCCCTCTCTGTGGAATGGGGACAGCAGTGGGAATAAGACCACTTATTTAAAATGGAAAGACTATTGGACAGGATCCAAAGACTCAGATTCCATTTCTGCCAGATATTCATCTAGTGACTTTAGGCCATTTATTGAAATTCATCACTTTCAGCTTCCTCAGCTATAAAATGGGAATAATATCATTTATAACAGAGTTGTAAGGTTTCAACCAAGCACAGATGAGGTTCGTGTGTAAAGGCACCTTTCCCAATCTTGGTGCCTAGAGGATGCTTAATCCGATGTTTGCTTCCTTCTTTCCCCATTGCTGATAATACTAAAAGAATTTCTGGAGGATGTGTTTGAAGTTAGATATACTTAAGACTAGTTTTTAAAAAATGGAGCAAGGAATAGGATACGTCTTGACCTCTAGTCCTGCACTGTTCAATAGAGTAGCCACGAGCCCTGTGTGGCCATTTAAATTTAAAATCATTAAAACTAAAATTAAAAAACACAAGTCCTCAGTCGTACTTGCCGCAATTCAAGTTCTCAACGGCCACAGGTGGCTACTGGGTATCATACTGGGCAACGAAAATAAAGAAAACTTCCATCATTGCCGAAGGTTCTGTTGGACAACGTTGAAAGGATTCCTGCAGAAATTGCTTTATCGTGATGTTATTTACCAAAAGAACAGGTTTCTTAAGGCAAAACTCTGATGTATTTTTGTCTCAGAGTGTACAGTCTTCTTTCAGTGGCATATCCTTTAAGTCACACAGTCACAGAGCCCAAGGTGGGGCTCAAACTCACGAACCGCGGGATCAAGACCTGAGCCGAAGTCGTACATTCAACCGACTGAGCCACCCAGGAACCCCTATTTCTTGTGTTTTTTATTTCAGCCCTTCTGACCGGGGTGAGGTGGTATCTCACTGTGGGTTTGATTTGCATCTCCCTGATGATGAGTGATGTCGAACATCACGTCGGTTGGCCAACTCCTCCTGCCAACCTCAGCAGAGAGAAAAGGCCTGCAAATACGATTTAGGTGAAGATACAACTTTCATAGTGTGCTTCCCTGTATGGCTTTGTGAATGGAAGGTGAGGGAGACGAGGCCACCACACTCTGTCATCGTACTGTGGGACAGAAGAGGTGACTTTAAAGCAGGTGGGAATCCCTACCTTTGCGGCCTTTCAAGAGCAGAGTTAGAAGGGAGGATTTGGGGGTGGAGGGTGAAGGAGGTTGTTGTTGCTGTCGGGGGTAATGTGAGTGAGGAGGCCGGAAAAAAAATTCTCAGACAAAATGAGTGTTGTGAAACCGGGAAGAGGGGCCTTTTCTAAACCCCAAATTGCTTTCGCCTCCTGGCTATCTGTATTAGTGGAAAAACTTTTGGTGTTCATTTTCCACCCCA